TTTAGAATTACTTTCCTCCCAATGGTGTTCTTCACTCAGGCCTGTGGTTTTGGTTTCAGGAACTTTGCTGCCACGATCCCTCGGCCCTTCTCAGTTCGTTATGACCCATATACCCAAAGGATTGAAGTCTTGGACAATACCCAGCAGCTTAAGATTTTGGCTGACTCCATCAACAGTAAGTAACTTACACCCTGTGAGGCCATTCTCTTTCCTAGTAATAGAAGATTGTGCTTTCTTACCCCCACTATAGGAACAATCATAAATTTATTGAATACTGAATTAAGGAGAAAAGCATCTCCATGTAAGCCACAGGTTCATTGACGGAAGAGAACTTAGCAGAAAGGCCAGAATTGCTTTGAGTCTCCTTTCTCCTTTGACCTTCCTAGATTCCACCCCACCTCCTGCCACCATGCCACCTCTCCACACCTGGCCTGTCACTGCCATGTACCACTTTCTCCTTTGCCTCTCCATCCCTTCTGCTCCACGTGTCTAGATATCACTCTGCTTAGAATCGCATCCCCTAAGAGCCAGGTTCTGTCTACTTTACCCACCGTCCAGTAGCTCAACTACTGGCCTTCCACTCTTCCTCAGTAATCAGGATATTATAATAGTTGCTCTTAAAAAATCAGTGTTACCTTGCTCATCACCTCCTTCTCTCTCTAGCCCTTCATACTCACCTCCAGCAACACTGATCAACTTTTAGTTCCCATGCTCTCTCCCGGTTCCCAGCTTTTACCTATGCAGTTCTATATGTTTAAAATACTTTCCTTCCCACTCCCATTTAGAGATGTCCAGCTACAGTTCATCTTTTAAGATATCTCTTCTGGTCAAAAGACTGGTTTTGATGTCCCTGCTATGTCTTTGCATTTCTACAGATCCCTCTCTCAGAGGACATATCATTACATTGTCTTCTGGTTGTTTACTTGTCTGTCTCCCCAACTAGACCTGAGCAAAGATCCAAGTCAGGTTCACTCTCAAATCCCCAGCACTCAGCCCTATTCCTAAAACTTATATTAGGTGCTCAAGAGCTATTGAATGAATGGATGAAACTACCAAAGGTGGCTGGGGTGGGGGCAGAGCCTAGAGAGAGGAATTTTATGCCAGGTTGTATGGGGTATCCCTGCCATATGTAAAGCCAATGAAGGCCAAAAGGGCAGGTGCGCTTGAAGTGTTCCTCTAATACCCTTCTGACATTGCCTAGGACTATTACAGTCACAACCTGTTAGATATGGCCACCTGAGATCAACCAGTTTGGAAAAGCCCAAGGCTTATTCACCCCCATAGACTCTATCTTGGACACTCAACTGGAGTGTATTTGTCCACTGAGGAAGCCAGCCCAAATGTTCCAGAGTCTGGGATGTAAGACAGAGGAGTCAGGCCATAGCTGTTTTCACCCTCTTTCTCATTTCTTCTGAAAAGGCAGAAATAATTCCACAGCTATTTTTTATAAGGGTATTTTTAAAGTCACAGAATGACAAAGTTAGGAACTGAAGGGTCCTTAGAGCTATGTGATCTTAGGTAAGGCCGCATTGCCTCTCTTTACTTCTGTTTCCTCATGATCTAGAAGGGAGTGAGACTTGTTCATCTCCAAAGCCCCTTCCACTTCCGTGAACAGTCTGTGTCCTTGTGGCCACTAGGCATGTGAGAGCATGGCATAAGTGGATGTGACTGCATCACACCTTAGTTCAGTGGTCTAGCCATCTAGGCTAAGCTATCCACTTAGACCATGCATTATCAAACTTTAGTGTACATCAGAATCACTTGGAGAGCTAGATAAAAATTAACAGTCCTGAGTCATAGCCCCACACTAAATTTACTAAATTTGTGGTAAGTCTTGGGAGTTTGTATTGGTAATAAGACCCCAGGTGATTCTGACATAGGAGGTTTGCGTGAACCACATTTTTAGGTTCAATGACTTAGCTCCTTGAAGAATCTATGGATGGTCATGTAAAAGAGAAACACAGCAGCTAGTGATTTACCTGGGGAGAAACTGTGAAGTCTTTCCTAGGAAATGGCCTATGGAAAGAGGAAGTTAATTAATAGCTCTTGCACTTCCTAAAACATGCAAGTACCTATAACATAACTGCCCAAATCCTACCTCCTTAGAGGTTGGGATGTCACCTGGCTCATCCATGCATCCACTGATCTCCTAAAGCTTTGCACATTGTGGACACTCGAAGGGTGTTTGTTCATTATGTGAGTGACTCATTTGGATGGTGTTTTATTTGTAGGTGAAGTTGGAATCCTTTGCAGTGCCCTCCAGAAATTAAAGTGAAGCCATGGACAAAGCGTGGTCTGTCAGCTGAGAACCTGTTGATGGAAATCCAACTGCTTCTTTCATCTGAAAATCTCTGAAAAGCGAAACTTAATTTGAAATGACAGCCTTAAATCTTTTTTGGAATAAGATGGAGGATCAACAAAGAGATAAAAATAATCCGAAATTACAGTACATTAATACATACCCCAAAGCATAATGGTAACTCTTTTGGGGTCATCTTTGATTTAGAGATGATAATCCCATGCTCTCAATTGAGTTCAATCAATAGTCAGTCACATTTCATCAAGGTTAATTAAAATTTGAGACCTGCTTCATTCATTCTTCATATATACTTTTGTTATTTGCCACAGAGAACTCCTAATGGGGTATATACGGCTAAATGAAAAGTGCAAGACTGTCATTAGAATTGAATTATTGGGTTTAATATAAATCTTAACTTACAAAGTTTATTTCCTATTTGAGTTAACTATGATTCAAATTACTGCTTTGTTATTGTACCTGTGTAGATTTCATTCAATTCAGGAACCCATTAAAATAGTTACAAACATTAAAGTTTGATAGCATTATATAAAAATATTTTTGTTTTATTGTAATCATAAATGCTGCCGTGTAATGTAATAGAACTTCCCACTTGTTCTCCACAACTTTCAGTGTCAAGTTTGGAACAAACATTAGGACTGATTAATTCTATCTAACTGTGGGGGTGACTATGGTTAACAATAACATGTGTTTCAAAATAGCAAAAAAAGAAGTTTTTGTAAGTTCTGCCAACTACATGTATTGAAATGTCACACTGTACCCCCAAAATATGTACAATTATTATTTGTCAATAAAAAAGGTAATTGTCAAGTCTGTTTTGGGAGACATTTTGAAGACATTTATGATGTAGCACATATGCTCATCAAAGCCATGTCTGGATAGTCAAGACTTTGACTTTTGTTGAATTGTGCAGTTTACATGAACATGTGAATATCTGAGAAGGAGTGGGGAGAATAACAATATCTTTAAAGCTATGATTGTACTTCTCACGCTATTTTACATTTTATTTTGGAAATAGTAAAGTCTTAAAGGATGTGTACAGTGCTTCTTTAAGTGTGGTTCTCACACCAGCTGTAGCATTGTCAACAGTAAATCCTGGGCACCTTCCCAGCTCTACCCAATTAGAATCTCTGTGAATGGGACCCAGAGATCTGCAGTTTTAGTAGCCCAGGTTATTCTATTTTTATTCACAGCCAAATCCACTGGGTACATTAAGTATGAGAAAACCTGACTTCTGTTGGTCTGTCTGCCACTTGCCAATTATGTCACCTTGGATAAGACACTTCTCTTCTTTGGAACTCGGTTTCACTCTAACAATGAGGGAGTTAAACTATTTAATCTGAGGTCCTTTCTAGCCTTGAAATATGATTCAAATTCCCATGTGTCTTTAAATAGCTGTCTCTGATCCACTAATAGGGTATAATAATAGACATCTAAGTATGCCAGCTGGGAGAAAAAAGTAATTTAGTCTGAATGTGTCTGAGGTTTAATTGCTTTGAAGTTGGAATTTTCATGTCTGTATCTATTTTATCATGTATTTGTAGAACCTAGTGATTTTAAAAGTGAAAATGAGCTTTTTCCTTTGGTGTTCCTCTAGACACCAAACATTCTGCAAAAGGATTATTTTAATGTTTCCTTATTTGACTTTAAAAGTTAATTATTGACTTTGGAACTTAAATATTATATTTTAGACTGAATATTGAATAGTGATTTCTAGTCCTAATAAAAATATTTTAATGTTTTTGAAGTTAAATTTAAGTTTACATTGTGGTTTTCACAGAAAGAAATTACATACTTAATGGAAGATAAACTTTGAATTTCTAGTAGTGTGCTACTCATTTCTTAGCTCTTTTTATCTGGATCCAAAAGCCCAGTGTACAGCAATGGGATTTAAAACATTTCCAGTATGTTAGTATTAATATTTGTTTAATTTCTAGTAAATGAGCAGTCTTTTAGAAACAATAGCGATGTTTCACTGACATGATCACATTGTGTAAAAATAAAAGAAATACATATAAAAACATTACAAGTGTGTAGCATTGGTTTTTCAATAAGTTTCTGAAAGTAGAAATCTAAATTTTAATTCTAGGTTTCTGAGTTATATCATTTAGTTGTGTTTCAAAGATTCTACCAATTAAAAGTCAGATTTATGAAAACAGGAACCTTGACTTTATTTTCACCTCTGAAACCCTTTGCACCTAGCACATAGTAGGTGCCCAATGTGTTTTTAAAAGAATATTTTGAATGAGCTGCATCACAGGGATATAGTGAAGGTTATCTCACAAACAGACTAATTTGTAAAAAAAAAAAAAAAGTTTAGAAACAATAGAATTTGCAATTTTCTCTTTTAAGAACTTGAAAAAATTGCACCTTAGTCTAAGTTGAGATTGTTTTTAAAGAAAGATGTTGTCCCTTGTACCAGTTTACACTAGATTATGGCTGGTTAGTTTGTATTTATACTGATTGGATAATAACTGCAATATGAGAAGTGTATAATTAATATTTGTTCATAAATATAGTAAACAAAATTACATCAATGAAACTTCACAGTTGTCCATAATGGAGCTGAAATGTTCAGAAAGCACTAAGTGACTTAATAGTTACAAAAAATCACTGAGGAAATAGAAAGCCTATGGAAAATGGGCTTTGCTGAGGAATGAGAAAAAACATGAGATAAAAATTTTCTCTTTCTAGTGCACTGTGCACCACCCCCCACCCTACCACACACACACAGAGAGAGAGAGAGAGAGAGAGAAGAGAGAGAGAGAGAGAGAGAGTCACTGCCTTTTAACAGCTATCCTGTGCAGTTTCAAAAGCTATAATCCATAGTAGATTTGATGTGCTAGAAATGGCTCTAAAGATTTCTGTGCTGTAAATGTACTTCTCATTTAAAATCTTACTTTCAACTCTGCTAGTTTTTAGGCAGAGATGACCTTCTCATCTGTAGTAAGCATAATTATTTTAAAGAATAAGCTCAGAGTCATAAACAATTGCAGAAAAGATTTAATTCTAGCCCTTCAGTGTAAATGCAACTCTCCCCTGTAACATTATTTGTAATTGTTCAGGGTTACTCTCTAAAAACACTTGTTTTGTATGTTTCTTGCACATTACTTTTTTTTTTATAACAATCTCTAAATAATAGAAAATCCATCAAAAAAGAAAAAGACAAGTAGTGACATCAGCAAGATGTAGGAATAGGAGATACAGGCCTTCATCCCTCCACAAAAATCAATAAATAGAGCATTATCCATGAATAATAATAGCTTTGGGAGGGCTCAAGTGTCCATTTAAGACCCTGCAGCAATACATTAAAGCAAAACAATGGAGAATAGCCACACAGAAAGTATCGCTGGGAAGATCGGTGTAACTGACATCCAGAGACAGCTAGAAACAAAGAAGGGAGAGGCTATAAGTATCAGCCAGTTGGCATATGCCACCATGGTCCTCAGTGTTCTGATTTGCAGAGGACACTAGCATGTTTTATCCATGAGGTTAACAACAACTATCACTATTGTGGACCCCCTAGAGATATTTTGGTCCCTCCATGCATGCCCATGATTCAGATGCTGGCTCCATGGCTACACCACAAGTGCCATTCATCAGATACAAATGTTTCTGCCATCACAAGTGTGCCTACACGCTGGACCCAGTGCTAAAATATGTCCCCTTGGCCACAATTACCCTGGTGGAAGAAAAATAGATCAAGAGGATGCCAACAGCCTTTGCCATCAAAGACCTCAATGGCCATTGCAACCACTGCAAACACCTACAGCCATGGCTTCTGAGTATCCATGCAATCTTCATCAATGTTGACTTCAGCTGACAGAGCTGCATGGAGACTATGCTGCTGCACTCTCACTGGAGCCAGAAGCACTTTAGCCCACCCAGCAAGGGTCTTTGCACCCACCTATAAGGGAAGGTCTTTCCCCACCAAAACCAGTCTATAAAGGGAATAGGTACCTGCTCCATCTAATGCACAGGCATCAACACAAGGAAAAAAGAAACATGAAAAACAAAGAAACAACACCATCAGAACACAATTTTCTAGTAACTGATCCCAAAGAAATGGAGATCTATGACTTGCCTGACAAAGAATTCAAAAATAATTATTTTAAAGAAGCTCAGTGAACTTCAATAAAATACAGAGAAACAATTCAACAAAATCATGGAAACAATAAGTGAAAAAAAAATAAGAAATTTAACAGAGAGATTTGAATCATAAAAATAACCAAATGGAAATTTAGGAGTTGAAGAATATGGAAGAATATGATGAATGAAATGAAAATGCAATAGAAAGCATCAACAACAGAACTGATCAAGCAGAGGAAAGAACCTATGAACTCAAAGACAAGATATTTTAAAATATACAGTCAGAGGAGAAAAAGAAAAAAGAATGAAATGAATGAAGAAGGTCTACAGGATTTATGAGACAGCATCAAGAGAGCTTACACTCACATTTTAAGTATCCATAAAGAAAAAGAAGAGAGAGAAAGGCCAGGAGCTTATTTAAAGAAATAATGGCTGAAAACTTCCTAAATATGGGGAAAGATATAAACATCCAGGTACAGGAAGCTCAAAGACTTTGATCAGATATAATGCAATACACCAAGATATAATCAAACTGTCAAAAATCAAAGGTAAAGAAAGAATCTCTAAAGCATCAATAGAAAGAAAGATCCTCACATACAAGGAAACCTCTATATGGCTATCAGTTTATTTCTCAGCAGTAACTTTGCCAGTCAGGAAAGAGTGGAGTGATATATTCAAAGGGCTGAAAGAAAAAAAGTGCCAATCAAGATTACTCTGCTCACCAAAGTTGTCCGTCAAAAATGAAACAGAGATAGGGCTGGCCCGGTGGTGCACTGCTACAGTGCGCC